TTATAATAAAATCCACAAAGTTTAAAAATTTCATGCACTTGAAAAATATCACTGTGATACCTAATGCCAGCTATGTACAGAGGTGGCCTGTGTAGGGTCAAAGGTTATCTCGCCGAGTGTTGATGCCTAATCTCCCAGCGAGCCACATGCCTCGCTGAGTTAGCAATAGCGCGTTAGGTAGCTGCCTTTTGTTTTAATTATAGGCGCGCAATGGCGTTGGATTGATGGCCAAAGAATGGAGAGTCGTGTCGTACGTTTTAGGCTGTATCTTCGGATTGCGGGTGTCTACGAGGAAACGATTTCGCACGATGATAGGCGAATGTACTGTGTCCGATTTGAGCTCAAGTTGGATGAGTTACGCGTAGTAAATCGTAGGTATTATAAGGCTAGTAAATGACGAATTTCCCTTGTTTATTGATGTCACACTCCTCCCTATTATCTACTCCTGGTGTTATACATGTTCGTTGTGATACATAGGATTCTCATTGTGTAGGGTGGGCTGTGATTCATTTACAGTCAAACTGTTTCTCTCCCAACAGGCATTGCTGTGAACAATGTAAACTAAAGAACATTTTCTTCTTACACAGGTACTATGTGTCTCCTTTCTGCTTCCATCTGCAGAGTGTGAACTACGTCTCACCTCCCAGGACAAGGGATGGCTGAATGCGTCAATTTTTCTTGGTGAATACCACACAGTGTAGATAGACTAATTGAACCTAATTCTAAATATTTTAAAAAGAAGAATGTACAACTGGATTTTACATTATGGTGACCTTTAGTGAGAGTAAAATGCAACTAAGCAATGGCAAATGATTTCAATATGTGTTTTTCAATAATTATAACAGTAAATAAAAATGCCTTTATTGTTTGCATGTCTTTACATGAACGTGTCTGTGTTATCATGCTCTCTATCCCATTGCACTTGCAGGCATGATGATAGGTGGCTATGTCTGGGCTGTGTTTGCAGACATGAACGGCCGTCGTAAAACGTTGATTTCATCCCTGGTCTTCAACGCCGTGTTTGGTGCCCTCTCCAGCTTTGCCCGCTCCTTCGAGATGCTGCTGGTGCTGCGCTTCCTGAGCGGAATCGGAGTCGGGGGAAACATCCCGATAGCCTGGGCGTACTTTGTCGAGTTTCAGCCTCGGCAGAAACGCGGCCGCATGCTCAGCTTGATGGCAGGCTTTTGGATGATTGGCAACGTACTTGTGGCTCTGCTAGCCTGGGCCATCATCCCACACACGGACATGGGCCACTTCAACGCGTACACGTATTCCAGCTGGCGCGTCTTTATTCTCGTCTGCACGGTGCCGCCCATTACGTCGGCCGTCTTGCTGATATTTCTGCCGGAGAGCCCAAAGTGGCTGCTGGAGAACGGCAAGGAGGAGCAGTGCCTAGCCATCCTCGCGAAGATGTACGCAGTCAACCACGGTACGGAGCAAGGTTTCAACGTGGCGCACGTCCAGCGGTCGCAGGCCATCAGCGACATCAGCCACGACACGTCGAAGATGCGCCACATCCGCTCGATGGGTCGGTCGGTGTTGAAGTGCAGAGAGCTGTTCACTCCTGCGCTGGCGCGACGTACAATCATATACACGTGGGTGAACATTGCACTCGCTTTTGGTTACTACGGTCTCTGGATGTGGTTCCCGGAGCTGTTCAAGAGGCTAGAGGAGTCGGGGAGAGACGATGTATCTGTGTGCACGAGTACGCTGGCGGGACTGAACTCCAGCGGTGAGCCAGATTTCGGAGACTGCTCGGAGGTGGGTGGCAGTGACGAGTTGTACATCAACAGTCTGCTCGTGGCCGCGTCGAGCCTGCCGGGAAATGTGATCGCTTTCGCATTCATGGACACGCTGGGCCGGCGGTGGCTGCTTGCTGGAAGCATGGTCACTTGCAGCCTGCTCGTCTTCTTCATATGGTTCATCAAGAACAAGCTGCAGAACTTGATACTATCCTGTCTGTTTTCCGCCGTGTCCATCATGGCCTGGAATTCGATTGATGTATTGGGTACAGAGCTGTTCCCAACTGGAGTACGTGCGACTGCATTTGGATTTAGCCTGGCATTTGCACGAGTTGGTGCAATAATGGGTAATGTTGTTTTTGGGCAGCTAATTGATGTAAACTGCACCATACCAATATTACTTGTTGTTGGCTTTCTATCTGTTGGTGGGTTGTCTGGTTTACTCTTTCCTGATACGATAGGAATATTTTTAGAATAGCGTTTATTGAATTTTAATGTTTATACTGCTTTACTAACATGATAAACAGCTTTTGGTGATTTTGATTTGTAAAAATGTGTATAATACCTTCCTATGCACACACATTTACAGATATACAGATATGCATATGTGTATATATATATTCATATGCACTCGCACACTTACACACACATATACCATATTATGTATAGGTATACATGTACACATATATTTATACATGTACAGTATATAAATATCAGGGGCTGAAAATAGGGCAAGTCTGAGGTCCGAGACCTGCCTATTTCATGCTCGGACCTTCGCAATTTCCAAACAAAAAGTTTGCCGGACCTATCAATAATTTACAGTACTCCACTTTCATCAAATAAAACATCATTAAACCATTGCAAATTGCGAAGAAACGGAGCGAAAGTAGATCGATTTTTGGTCAGTGTTGACATCTAGTGTCATATTTAATATTTACGATGAAAAATACCAAGTATGAGAGTCAAATTTACCGAAAATCTGATAGAAATTACACGTACTGATAGTGTATCACTATGCTGCAACGTTAGCATCATGGTTGTTTATAATGGAAGTTAACGTGGATGCGCGCGCAGTTTCAGCATGCCGGAGGTAACTCGTCGCTCGTGCGAGTAACTCGGAATACCTGCAGACGACCCATGTATTGCATGAAACAAGGGCAAACATGAGTTTTTCTAAGTTTGGTTTTGTATAAAAAAATGGACCCACTGTTACCAAACGATCGATTAGCCAAACAAACGTTACAAATGACTTGCAAAATAAAACCACAAATTATTACGTGATGACGAAATATAAGAACCATTTGGTGACATATTTGGACCTTCCAAATCTGTCATCGGACCTTTCAAAAATATTTCTGAAAAGTCCCGGATATTCGCGCAAAAACACTTATTTTCAGCCCCTGAATATAATGCATATATATGTATGGTGTCGTTGTAAGGTCGTTTCTTGCACACGTTGCTAGTAACATTGCTAACATAAGTCAAATTGTGTTTTACATGTTAAAATAGTATATTTTGCAAGGATTTTTCTGTTTATTAGTGCATTATATTGCAATATCGGTAGCACATACATAAAATCAAGAGCTAATAATACCTAATGGTATGGTAAGCTAATGGTATTATTAGCTCTTGATAAAATATACAGTTTATGTGCTCTTGACAGTTCTGATTTAAATAATCGAATGTAGTATATGCACAGCGATGAGACAATTTTACGAGATCGAAAGGAAGAATTTTAATTTTGAAAGTTTTGAAAGTTTTTGAAAATTTCAAGTATGAAGTTAATGATTAATTAATTGTGATAAAATACACTGTGATAGCCTAATGTTTTGGTAATGTGTAACGTCCTTGTAAAGTCGTATATATGCTTCTAAATTGTCTGAATCGTTATTTTGAAGGTTGCTACAAATAAATGCATGCAGAGAATCTGCAATGAAAAGACAAATACAATTATGTATATATCGTTGACATGCAGCAACATTATTTGTATGCTGAATGGCATGGCTTTATTCAGCGTCGTGTACGCTGTGCATTATAATTGGCTAATTCATATCGAATATCTGGCTTCCGTTACTAATGTTTTAGCTCGTGTACACTGAACTGTGTTTAATCGTGTTTAACGCGCACACGCATGCACACTCATTTATCATAGCGGTAGTACGAACGATATTACGTAGGATTGCAGAATACAACATAGAAATAACTGTAACGGCTTGGTTATTTCACATGACGAGGCGCAAGGTTGCAAAAGTCCACACAAAAATTGAAGAGCTTAAATAATTGCCAAAATGTACTTGTTTCTATATAATTGAAAAAAACATACATGTATTATTTTGTAGTAATAATATATATATAATAACTATTCTTAACAAATTAATAGAAAAAACGATCGCGCTTAGAAATTTACGTCTATGAAAGGACCTGACACCAGTTCCTTAGCACATGGTCAAACTAGACGAAAAAGTGTTCTAGCTCCAAAGCGTAGAACTAACAGCGTTTATACACTTATATAGAGTGCATACAACAGCAGTAGAAATTAAAATACTCATTTAATTTGGTTGTTATTGCGGGTAACAAATCTGTTACTTCATGTGCTCAGTCAAAGCGTAAAATGCAAATAAATTTATATTACACCGTGTAATCGTTGCTAATCTAAAGCGTAAAGTGCAAATAAGATTAATTACACTGTCATCTTTGCTCAGCTAAAAAGTGTAAATAAGTTAGTATATATTACACTGTGTCATATTTGCTCAGCTAATGCGTCAAGTGCGAATCAGTTTCTATTCCACTGTGTCATCTTTGCTCAGCTAAAGCGTCATGCTCACGTTCAAATAAGTTTCTATTCCACTGTATCATTTTTGCTCAGCTAATGCGTCAAGTGCAAATAAGTTTCTATTCCACTGTATCATCTTTGCTCAGCTAGAACGTCATGCTCACGTTCAGATAAGTTTCTATTCCACTGTATCATTTTTGCTCAGCTAATGCGTCGAGTGCAAATAAGTTTCTATTCCACTGTATCATCTTTGCTCAGCTAAAGCGTTAAGTGCAAACAATTTGATATTATCCTGTGTCATCTTACGGGAGGATGACACGGCGTAACCGTAGCACGGCTGTGATGCGACAACCTTTCACCAACCAACAGTACTTGAGTATCTTATCACGAGTACTTCTGGACGGCCTTGATAGGGGAAAATCGGATCGCCAGTGATCTAAATCGAAACGGCAGTCACGACAATTGGCAAAAGCCCCAATTAATGAATGGCAACGTCACCACGTTTAGGTTACAGCTGTTGTCCAGAATATTCGTCGAATAAAACCAACAGCGGACGAAGCAAATTTAAAAAAATAAGCGCGGCTGAAATATCAACTTGGTCGACACGATCGAGCCGTATCGGCCGACCATAGTTGCGATGCGCCGCGGCAAGAAATACCGACTCGTTCGATTCTGCTCCTGCCCTTGAGGCATTGAGCACAGCGATACGGGCGCGGGCGCCCATGATGTCACTAATGTAGCTGCCTCCGTCATATCTTCTGCATTCGTGAAGGATAGGGACCGCTTTGCAAATAAAGTAGACGAGTTTCCTGAGGCCCTGCGGTGCGCGACATGCTGCAGCATATATTTTCGGCTAGAGGCGATCAACAAAAGATGTGGTCAACAAGGCAGAAGTGCGGACAGAGAGAGAAAGAGAAGAGAGGAGAGAGAGAGAGAGAGAGCGAGAGAGAGGAGACAAAGCGAGAGAGAGAGGAGAGCGCGCGAGAGAGAGAGAGAAAGCGAGAGAGAGAGAGGAGCAGAGAGAGAGAGAGAGAGAGAGAGAGAGAGAGAGAGAGAGAGAGAGAGAGAGAGAGAGAGAGCGAGAAGCAAATAGGGAGAACAGAAACAGAGAGAGAGGTGGGAGGAGATAGAGCAAGAGAGAGCTAGACAGCGAGACAGAGACATAGTGAGATAGAAGCTGGCAGCTACGTTAAGGGCAGGCGTCGGAATCCCGTAGTCAACCCACCAACAGCGGCACCAGCAATGCTGCGACACGTACCGATGCCGCGACGACCGCATTATACAGCATTATTACAGAGCAGCATTATTACGACAGCATTATTACGACAGCATTATTAGTACGACAGCATTATTATTACGACAGCATTATTACAGAGCAGCATTATTACAGAGCAGCATTATTATTACGAGCAGCATTATTACGACAGCATTATTACAGAGATTCGTCGCAGACAGCGTAGATGCATGACGACGTCTATACGTGTTTGCTCATGATCGCGTTATCACAATAACTGAGCTCGTCACACGGTAGATCGCCCAGAACAAGGTCACGCGGTTGGGAACACTAAGCGCCAAAAACGTGTTCGGCACAATAGTCCAGGCAATCTAGGTCAATTTTGCAACCAACCTTAAAGAAAAAACAGAATTTTTTTTTACAGGGCATTTCTGTGATGACCCCAGAACACCATTCTAAAAGTCCTAAGAAATCATCCCACGCAAATCTCCCTAATTTGCATAAATCCAAAATGGCTTGACTACAATATCAATGAAGAAGTCCATTAGCAACGGCTATGGATTTGTTGGAGGCTGTGCGGTTGCTGTTTACCACTGACATCTTGTTCGGAAGAAAAATAGCAAATCATGCCAGCGCATGTTTCACGAGAAAGAAAACTGCATCTTCTCCCATCGTAGCAAGCAGAGCAGCGTTTAGCCTTTTTATGCTGAATACGTAGAGAATGAAGCCCTCTGATCCACGCGCGTGATAAACACACAGAAGAACACTACGCAGGCAACGATGATGCGGCAGACGAAAACAGCTGCAAGCACAGAAGAAACACAGCGCCACCACCGCATCACACAGCAGCAGTGCGTTCTGACGTCGTTGTGCAGGTGGAATATGACGATGCCGTCACTCGAGATAGATTCATTTTCTTTATTTAGCACTTAACTTAGTTACAATACAACAGGTGTATGATGGATATAACGTGAGAGTATAAATAAAAAAGAATAGTGAACTTACTAACAAATAAGTGCTGTGAGGGTCAAAGTAGCACTAGGCTTTCGAGTCGACCCCCGCATGAAGGGAGATAACGTCGATGGGAGGGAATATTATACCGGAAGTTTTCCCGGCAGCCATCAGCAAGATTCGGAAGCTACTGCTGACTACTGGCGCCGCTTGCTAGCCTTTACTCGTCCACGGTGTCAACAGGAAGCTCTGGTTGGTTCGCGCTATGTTTTGGGTTAGGTTTGGTTCGGTAGCATTTCACACGGGAGCACCGATAGATAATGTCGTGTGACGCACTCATACTTCAGTGGCATTTTACCCGCTTGAAGACGCAAAGCTCTGTCGAAGCATCTCGCTCTCTCTCGGCTAGTGTTAGGACGCGATCGAATCGGAGTTTAGAAGGTAGGGATTCGAAGATGGGATAAAGAAGGTTAGAAGATAGGAGTTTAGAATAGCCAACTCAAAATTTTGCAACCGATTTTGCAGTTCTGAAGCTTCGGATGCGATTGCAGGAGATTGGATTTTTAATTACCTATATACACTGCGGAACATAAATAATAAATCTGGAAACATATTTTGAATTAGATTCGATATCAGTTTAAGGTTTTCGATATCACATTCTGCACAATTAAGTGCAAGACGATGTCAAACAGGAGAGATTTCTCAACGCTATCAATAGGTCTTTTATCGCGATAGATAAATTTCCTCGTGTATATATTTGCAACTCGGGCTAGTCAGCAGATTTTTAATATTCTTAATTACCTATATACTACGGAACAAAAATAATAAATCTGGAAACATATTTTGAATTAGATTCGACATCAGTTTAAAGTTTTTGATATCACACTCCGCACAACTATGTGCAAGACGATGTCAAAGAGGAGAGATATATCAACGCGATTAATAGTTAGGCATATAGCCATGAGATTACAAGTCATTTTAATATCAGATATACAGCCGTGTATCAATCTAGTTGTGTATCTGTAGCTTGTTCCATAATTTGTTTTCACATACTATTTTGATAATTACAGTAAATGTTTAAAATAAATAAAAAAATATTGCACTTTTTGTTCTCTTATCTGATGTCGTCATTTTCTTATTACTGCATTATTTATATGATTACAATATTTTATCAAGACCTAATAATACATGTATTATTAGGTCTTGATATTATACACATAATATGTGAAATCAGGTATCACGCGAAAGGATGTACGTGGCTAACTCTTTATTTCTGTTACACTTCATCAATGGTAAAGTCATGATTCATGCCTGAGTGTGAAATTTAGCATGTTTCAGTGCATGTTGACAGACCTGACGTATCTGTGATGAATGACCAGAACCTAAACGTGAACCGAACGAAAGATCAAAGGTGAGTATATTGTTGGTTCTCGCACAGTGAAGCAGTATTAAGTGAAGTTGATATTTTAATCTGCCTCGTCTGTAGTGCCTAGATTTAATGATTCACCACAACAAATTCGATGATAGTGCATGCGCAGTGTGTTCTTCACTTTACGTTGCGAGCGAATGAATAGGATGATTTCAGGCAATAGAAATACGAACGTAACGACGTAACGTACGAACTATTGAAGTTTACTAAAAATATTGTATATTAGTTTGTGCTTATACATATATTATATATATATATATAAATATATATATATATATTTGTGTGTGTATGTGTGTGTGTGTGTGTGTGTGTGTGTGTGTGTGTGTGTGTGTGTGCGTTGTGTGTGCAAATATTGCTCATAAATACGGTAGCGTATGACGCTCCGCTGATATTGCCAGCTTAGGCCGACAGCTGTCGCCGAGCCTGCTTAGAAAACACGTATCTGGTTCTTTGCAGGGCTGTTGTAATGACCGCGTTGCATGTCACCGGAGTGCGGTATATTGCGAATAAAGCGCTGCGATTGAATACGTCAATCGCTTACGCGGAGATTGCTCGACATT